TGTCGCTCATACTGAATGCAACCTACAGGAGATCCCAAACACATGCGTATGCACACTTTGGCCTTGAGGTGAATGTACATTAGCTAAAACAACTATCTGTGCATACTTTGTGGGAAACAATATGAGACCATAGACGATAAATTTTGGTATACGAGGGCTGTCACTAGTCACACGTATAATTTCGGAGCATATCGACAAACACCTGCACAGATAGCTGTTTTAGCTACTGTACATAAGACTCGGATTGTCTTTCAACGTGCCCCTTGTTCAGTCACACCTCCACCATTCATCCAGTTTAATGGTACTACCCTCTCTCCTGTTACCCACGTTTGGTATCTCGGCTCCCACCTGTCCACCACCGCAAACTTCAACGAAGAGATTCGGCATCAGATCAGATATGCATCTCAAGCCTTTGGCAGACCCCAAAACTGTTTCTTTAGCTGTAAGGAGCCGAAATCATCTACAAAGTGACACGTATATCGAGCAGTGGTCCCCCCACCTTGCTATATGGCAGCGAGACATGGGTCACATGCAGGAAGCACCTTAAAGCACTTGAAAACTTTCACCAACGTAGTCTACGTTCCATCCTCCGAGTTCGCTGAGAAGACGAGAACAAATGCCAGTATTCCTGCAGACACCAACTGTAGAAGCATCGAGGCTTCCATTATCCAAGAACATCTACGCTGGACTGGTCATGTTACTCGCATGGACGACAGTAGACTGCCAAAGCAGCTACTTTACAGTCACCTAACAAATAGTAACATAATGCTGGCAGGCAACTGAAAAGGTATAAGGATAGTCTTAAGACAAACCTGAAAATGTGTCAAATGGACGCCCTTACCTAGGAGACAATTATTCCACACTGTAGCGCTTGGAGGATCACCAAACAAAGAAGGTGTCAATGCTTTCGAGTTTGCCCGACTGCATAACGAGGCAAACAAGCACCAACGCCGGAAAAACACTGCCGCCACCCCTCCGCACAATATGTAGCCTCCACATGTGCAACATCTGTAACATCTGTGATCGATGCTGCCGGTCCCGTATCGGCCTCTTTAGTCACCTCAGAACTCGCCAACCTAGGTGACATCCTGGATGATCATCATACGGTACTCGATTCCGAGTAACAATAAAGTACGTAGTATAATTCACACACAATAGTTGTTGGGCTTCATGCAGGCCTAGTTGACACAATAGTTTTTGGGCTCCATGCTGTGGGTTCAATGCAGGCCTAGTTGACACAATAGTTTTTGGGCTCCATGCTGTGGGTTCAATGCAGGCCTAGTTGACACAATAGTTGTTGGGCTCCATGCTGTGGGTTCAATGCAGGCCTAGTTGACACAATAGTTTTTGGGCTCCATGCTGTGGGTTTAATGCAGGCCTAGTTGACACAATAGTTTTTGGGCTCCATGCCGTGGGTTTAATGCAGGCCTAGTTGACACAATAGTTTTTGGACTCCATGCTGTGGGTTCAATGCAGGCCTAGTTGACACAATAGTTTTTGGGCTCCATGCCGTGGGTTTAATGCAGGCCTAGTTGACACAATAGTTTTTGGGCTCCATGCCGTGGGTTTAATGCAGGCCTAGTTGACACAATAGTTTTGGGTTCCATGCCGTGGGTTTAATGCAGGCCTAGTTGACACAATAGTTTTTGGACTCCATGCTGTGGGTTCAATGCAGGCCTAGTTGACACAATAGTTGTTGGGCTCCATGCCGTGGGTTTAATGCAGGCCTAGTTGACACAGTTGTTGGGCCATGCTGTGGGTTCAATGCAGGCCTAGTTGATACAATAGTTGTTGGGCTCCATGCCGTGGGTTTAATGCAGGCCTAGTTGACACAATAGTTTTGGACTCCATGCTGTGGGTTCAATGCAGGCCTAGTTGACACAATAGTTGTTGGGCTCCATGCTGTGGGTTCAATGCAGGCCTAGTTGACACAATTTTTTTGGGCTCCATGCTGTGGGTTTAATGCAGGCCTAGTTGACACAATAGTTTTTGGGCTCCATGCCGTGGGTTTAATGCAGGCCTAGTTGACACAATAGTTTTTGGACTCCATGCTGTGGGTTCAATGCAGGCCTAGTTGACACAATAGTTTTGGGCTCCATGCCGTGGGTTTAATGCAGGCCTAGTTGACACAATAGTTTTTGGGCTCCATGCCGTGGGTTTAATGCAGGCCTAGTTGACAATAGTTTTTGGGCTCCATGCCGTGGGTTTAATGCAGGCCTAGTTGACACAATAGTTGTTGGGCTCCATGAAATCGATTTAATGTCGGCCGAGTTGACACACAATAGTACTGTATAGAAGCATCATAGCATTATCAACAACAGTACAGCAGCATAGCATTATCAACGACAGAGTTCAGCAGCAGCATAGCATTATCAACAACAGTACAGCAGCATAGCATTATCAACAACAGTAGAGTTCAGCAGCAGCATAGCATTATCAACAACAGTACAGCAGCATAGCATTATCAACAACAGTACAGCAGCATAGCATTATCAACAACAGTACAGCAGCATAGCATTATCAACAACAGTACAGCAGCATAGCATTATCAACAACAGTACAGCAGCATAGCATTATCAACAACAGTACAGCAGCATAGCATTATCAACAACAGTACAGCAGCATAGCATTATCAACAGTACAGCAGCATAGCATTATCAACAACAGTACAGCAGCATAGCATTATCAACAACAGTACAGCAGCATAGCATTATCAACAACAGTACAGCAGCATAGCATTATCAACAACAGTACAGTACAGCAGCAGTATAGCATTAACAACAACAGTACAGTATAGCAGCAGCATAGCATTATCAACAACAGTACAGTACAGCAGCAGTATAGCATTAACAAAAACAGTACAGCAGCAGCAGCATAGCATTATCAACAACAGTGCAGTATAGCAGCAGCATAGCATTATCAACAACAGTACAGTACAGCAGCAGCAGCATAGCATTATCAACAACAGTACAGTACAGCAGCAGCATAGCATTATCAACAACAGTGCAGTATAGCAGCAGCATAGCATTATCAACAACAGTACAGTACAGCAGCAGCATAGCATTATCAACAACAGTACAGTACAGCAGCAGCAGCATAGCATTATCAACAACAGTACAGTACAGCAGCAGCAGCATAGCATTATCAACAACAGTGCAGTATAGCAGCAGCATAGCATCACCAGGACAGTACAGCATCATCAACTACAGTACAGTATAGCATTTGGTTGTTTTTATCACTAAAGCACATCACTAAGCACCACAGTACAGTATAATCATACCAGAACTCAGCACTAAGTTCACTATCACAGCTCAGTACTGTTCAGTGCCTACACAGCTCAACACTATGCTCAAGACCACCACAGCACAGCACAGCACTATATTCAACACTACCACAACATGGCACTGTTCAACAGCACCACAGCACAGCACTATGTTCAATAGCACTGCAGCACAGCAATATATTTAACACCACCACAGCTCAGCAATAGGCTATATTTTCACCACAGCACCACTATATTCAGCACCACAGCACAGCACAGCTCAGCACTGTGTTCAACATTACAGCAATATCCAATGCCTTCACAACTCGGCACTAGGCTATATTTATCACCACCACACAGCACAATATTCAACATCGCAGCACAGCACTATGTTCACTACCATAACTCAGCATTATACAAGCACCTGCACAGCTCAGCACCATGTTCATCACAGCACTATATTCACCACCACAACGCAGCAATATGTTCAACAGCACTTCAGCACACTTGGTTCAATCAAAGTAGATGCAGTAGACTTCCTTCCACCCCTATGTGGTATGGAGTTCCCATAGACTTCTCGCTACGACGATAGCAACTTAGAGGCCATAAATTTTCTCCTGTTTCTGTGTGGCATGAAGCTCCTGTAGACATCCTCTCTCCTCTATGTTCGACTGTGATCGCCCAGAAGGAAAAATTAACCCGCCACATGGACTTGATACAAAATATTTTGGTCAAACATGTCAAAAGCTTATACTACAGACGGGCGAGGGGCAACCTAATAGAAGTGTCTAAACATCTGGGGGGAGGGGGGCACTACTCGGTCGAATGCACGTGCCTGGAGCTGGCGGACGTCTGCCCCACAAGGGGTCACAGCTCTCAAGGTTGAAGAAGCCACAAGTTCAGAAAACCGAGGGCAAATTTTTTCGGGGTGAGAATTGTGAACTCTAGGAACAATCTACCGGAGAGCATTGTGATGGCACCGAGAGTGAGCTCATTGAAGGCCAGATTTGACCAACACTGGAGCAGGTTCCCATATATTCAGGAGCAAGTGCATGCCCAGTACCTGCCGACAGTGCATATCAGACGTGACCGACAGCCCGAGCGACTAACGAGCCATTCAGTGGCGAAGAGAATAAAAGTAAATACAAATACAGTAACCAATACTAGCACACAAATGTGTACAGTGTCCTAATATTAGTGCAAGATAGGCTGCATCTTGTTAGGAGTTGCTTAATATCCTTCATGTCTATAGTGAAACACAATAGTTTTACACTTATGTTGCAGGTCTGGTTCAGAAAGCCTCAGTAGGTGTATGGCGACCACATGCTTGATACTATCCACATGTTAGCGTCTCGGGGCTGGGCCCGTACGTTAAACGGAATTCTTGTTTGTCATGGGGGCCGACTCGGCATACCTCTCCCCCTTCGTCTGCGTGCCCTGCTATGCACTAACTAGTTTATCCACCCTTCCTTACTTAATGCTTGTATAGTGGTAAAAGTAACTTTTCCTTTACTTGAGCTTCATTATTGTGTTCAGGCTCTTTATAAGCGTACAAAGTTTCTTTAAAACTACTCCCTTTGTGTTTAAAAATCATCTTAATATAATACATACTTGCATACATATCTAGACTTCTGCCTTCAGTATTATGGATAACATTGATACAAACTCACATTTCTGTATCATCTGTGGATCTTTGTAATTTAGAAATCCTCGGTAACGTTGTTGTATCTATTGACAGGTTTTGCTGGGGAGGAAAGTTTACTACCTGGTTCTCCTGATGCTCCATATGATCCAAATTCTAGAGTTCCTAGTGCTGCAGACAACTTAAGTACCACAGCTGATGATCTTTTTAGACAAGTAAGTCAGTAATCCAGGAAAGCATGAAAATATGTGCAACACTAACAGTCAGACTCTGCATATGGAGTGGTTCCCCAGTTAATCTTGAGGTTATGAATCAACAAGTAATTTACTGTAGTTCAATCTTTGATAGAGTGACGGTAACTTTTTATGGAAAGAATGGGTTAGAGAGATGAGTTTGTAAATTCTTATGACTCCCTCTCTCTAATTACTTGTAAAACATCTAAATGGCTTTAATTACAATACATATACAGTAAAGTAAAATTTTGCATTTACACACATGTACTGTATATTCATGATTTACCTTAACACTTTGGTGGGCTGATGAAGTTAATAAAGCCATCCAAAAAATGTGCCGGTAGGTAAACAGGCCATTTCATCCACTGTAGAAATTCACCGGCAATCTATTTTCTCCGTTATTGTGGTGGGAAAGGTCTCGAGTTGTGGGCCAATATCTTCCTTTTTTCTCCAAGGGAAGGATGGAGGCCTGAAGCATACAGTATGCTAAGTGCTGCAGGTGCTCTAAAAACTTGCTTAGTAATGGTTATAGTGGTGTTAGATTTGGTGTTTATTGCATAATAAATTAAAGAAAGATAATTCACAATCATTAATGTGTGTAAAAAAAATGATAAGTGATGGTAAATAGCATCACAAATTAGAATTGTGTGTGAACATTTACAGATGCCTTACCAACAATATGAGTGCTTGGACCATTTAGCATATGTTGTCAGCCTGTCAAGACTGTTAAATATAATGAATGAATGAATGTAACATGTTACTGTATTTTCATTAGTGTTAAGATGGAGTTTCCTCTTCTAGCTCTCCTTGTGACTTTACCAAGGCATTAGTTGTACATATGTGGGCAGAAAAAAAATGACATACTAACCGTTTTCAGACATATTCCATAATAGATGTAATAGAAATAATTGGAATTTAGTTGCCTCACCTGCAAAAGGTTAAGGGCAAGGTGGATGCTTTGTAGTAAAGTACAGGGAAGCTGAAAGACCTTGTCACTATCCATACATGAGAATAATTCCCTTTTGTTTGAAAATGTAAACAAACAGTGCTCACCAAAATGCTTTTGATCAGGATGTGCCTCACTAGATTAGGGGATATTCAACAAATGCAAGCTGGCAGACTACTGACACAAGTTACAAACTAATGAGGCCAGCAGTTGAGAGGAGAGTCTAGTGTCATAATAATAATAATAATAATAATAATAATAATGATTGTTAAGACCACTTCAATATCTATACGACTGTACTGTTTAAATTACTTATTTCAATGCTCATAGGCTTATTATTATCCATGAGACTTCCTGCTTTATAGTTTTGTATTATAAAAAACTTTTTACTTTCTGTAAATTATCTTTAAACCTCACTGTTCTAAGGATTTCCTCTTTTTTAGGTGGATCGCTTGAATGGTCTGGTGAATTCAGCACTACCCACACTTGATGGTGGTTTGACTCCATCTCTACAAATCCCTCCTCCCCCAGACTCAAGTGTGACCTTCCCAGTGGAGGTAGCTGCAAGTGGAGAAAGGGACTCCCGTGTGGAAGCCGATCATTCCCATCTGTTGCGACCAGAGATTCCCAGAACCGAGAGTCCAGTAGGATCTGCAACACAAGACTCTGTGTCCTATTCTTATGAGGAGGATCTTAATGCTGTAACAGATGAAACTGAAGAAAGAAATGGTTACCATTATGAAGAATATGAATATGATCCTAATGATTATGAGGAATACGGTGATGAATATACATACGAATACTATGACTATGATAATACTAGGAGGAAAAGACAGCATAATAGGAATAATATTCAGAATGATGTGAATGCAGTAAATGGAACAAATTACAGTGTACATGAAGATACAGAGAACTCGGCTTCCTCGAATGTTAAGAAACAAAAAACACGGAATCGGACAGGCAAAACCATCAAAATAAAGAAGACCCCAAAACAAGATAATTCTAGATTATCTTCCGAGAAGAAGAGCAGACATAACATTTCGGCGCCTCACGATGGTAGTCCGAGTTTGAGAACTAGAAGATTGAATTCGGCATCTAAACGGAACACCTTAAAGACTCCTAAGAGTTCATCAACAAATTTATCTTCTGAAATTTCCATTGACAAGATGGATAGAATAATTAACCGAGCTAAGCTGTTAAGGAAAAGACAACAAATGAGTCGCAGGAGGAAGGACATTATTCATCCGTTAAGGAGAAGTTCACATAAGTCGGGAAGATCCAAGAGAGAAGCTATGTTTCATTTCAGAAAATTTTCAGCAAAAGATATCACATGGATATGAGATTTTTAATCTCAAGGTGTCTCTAGAATCTGGCAATGCAAAATTTTTGTGTTCAATTATATATTTCTTTATGCTACTGTATGTGATAATTTTATGAATTACCAGTTTCCCTTACTAACTGAGATGATTAATGTATTGCATAAGTAATTATTTACAATGGGTGCTCATTTTGGTTTTTATTGTCATATTAACCCAGACTTGCTATTGGTCTAAAATAATGGTAGCTAGCTAGTATTTTGATCTATACTGTATGTGAGTATTTTGTTGGGTTTAAATGTTTGAACTTTTAAAATTTATTTGTATGTCATATTTTTACAGTTTTAAAATTATGGTGATCAATCAAGATACACCATTAAGTGTAGTTTTTAAAAAAAATAGAATGCATATCTCAGTCAGCTTTTACATGATTTTAGTAATGCTTTTACTGTGATGATAATAAATATCTTGTACTCTTATATATTAAAGAACCCTTAAATTGTAATAATATTCTCAGGAATAGAATGACGAATATGTTGAATTATAAATCATGATGTGAATCAGATTACTGTGCTCGTAAATGGAGTTTCTCTTGGGTAATACTCTTGTTAACTCGGTCTCTCGTACAGCTGCTCCTCGACTCACGACGGGGTTAGCGACCCAAATCCAGGTCGTAAGTCGAATTGGTTGTAAGTTGAAAATGCTTAAATAATAGTACATAGAAAATCTACAATGGGTGTCTCTTTCTTCTCAGCGCCACAAAACTCTCACTTTTAAGCTTGCCATCCATTTTAAAGTGAATTACAAACGAAAAATTTGTCAGTACACAGAGCAATCGCTAACCCTGGGACTTGAAAATATGTAATCTGACAAAATTTTGGTACGACCGAGGCGGTCACAGGTCGAGTGTGTCGTAAGTCGAGGAGTAGCCGTAATTGGAGCCTTTTCTTCAAATGACTGAAGTGTTTGAGTGCAACATATTAGGTTTTTTTACACATGCTGGAAGTACACTAAGATAAACTTGCAGATACAGAAGGATTTCAAATGGTTCATATTTCCCAAATGTATAGTTAATAGATGTTTCATTTGCTTATGTGATATCATAAATGTCAAAGCATACAAGCAGTCTTTATGATAATGATGCCTAACAATTGCTGATGAAAGTACCTGCTTAAGTTTATTTTTATTCCCAATATGTCACCAAAAATGTCATTTGTAGTTAGAGTACAGTATGTACTTCTAATGGAGGGATCCTAGATAGGCCATTGGCCTCCTTCCTTCAGCATGGCCACCTTTAGTTGATCACCATTGGATAACTATACTGAAGTGACACCTTCACTTTCTCAGCCGGACATGTGAGAAGAGTATGCATCAGCTCAGTTTTGTGTTATGTGAATTTAATTTTCCACGAATGAAAAGGCCATTTTTTTCTAAAAAAGTTTTTGTGATATAGTCCAGAATGCGACGTCTAGCTTTATACCTAGATATTTTAATGCCTAGCAATAACTCGCCAGGCCAACATACAGGCAATTAAAACCTCTAATAGTTACTTAATACGTAATATTAGGAGGACACGCCGCTACCCGGCATTTATTGCAATTCTAAAAACCCCCTCCTGCACCCTCCATCACACGCATTGCTCCCGTCGTCTCTTGCCCTAGAGCGAGCAGTAAACAAATGTCAACTCTCGAGGGGTGGAGATGGGTGGGATGTCGATGTCGCATTCTGGACTATGACAAAAACTGGTTTTTAGACAAAAAAAGACTTTTTGTTCAATCCAGAATGCTGAGCAGGAGGTGACATTGCGTATAAGGCTCCGCTAGCTTAGGTCCAGATTATAATTATAAACTTTTTGGAATATTTCCCAATATTAGGAACATTTACGGGAAGGTAAAATGTTAATTTACATGTCCCAGTTTGGATACTCACTTTACTCTGATGATGAGGAAGAAGGTTCTGGTTGTGGAGATTGACTAGGTGGGGGAGGGAACCCCAGCACCACCACATGTGAAACATCTTTCAGAGCTGGATGAGGATAGCTATTTTGAAAGTTTTTTTTTGAAGATTTCCAAAATCCCACTTCTTTGATCTGACTGAGGCTCGTATGCCGCAGAAAGGACACAGACGCTGCATATTTCCTCACTCACTAACTGAGATAATTATTTTGTCATTTGACTATGAGACAATTTCTTACCATCCTGTGATATGGGGGCCTCGATTAGGGAATCTGGTTCACCACTCTTGAAGATTCCTAACTGGGCACAGCATATGAGGAGCCCTTGTCTCGTCCATCAGCCATTTTATCCCGATAGGTTGAGCTCGAAAATCCTCCTTCATTTTTTCTTTGGATCTCCGTAGGAAAAAGGGTTAAATCTTCCTCAAAAAATACCAATAATGATGGATTATTGGAAATTGAAATCGGCTCACTGATTCTCATACCCGTTGCTATTTCTAGAAGGAAGACTGCCTTCTGGAGCAATGTCCGTGTTCAGATTTATATTGTGATTGGAGTCGTTAACCTGATAAATTGTTGAAAAAGTTTCCAAACTTTCTCATACTGCATAGAAGTTTGGGGTCTATGACCTGCTATCACTTGGTTAACTATATTGGAATTACCCAACAATCTATTTAAACATCTTTCGAGAAACTCCAAGCGTGAAGTGCCAAGATTGTCTTGAACTAAGGGTGCAGTACCTGTTCTAGACATGCCTGTTGCAATTGTAGTGGATGTGGGCACCAGTCCAACAGATCGAGACACCACGGTTGTATGATGCAATTAAGAGGACCTTCCCTTGGAAAAATCTGAGTTTGTGAACCAGTTTGGGCAACATATTCACAGGTTGGAACAGATAGTTTGGATTCCAACTGTTCCAATCTATGAGTGTAGCATTTCCTAAAAGATTCGATCGTTCCAGAGATGCATAAATTGGCATCTTGTGATTGTTTTGTGAGGCAAACGGATATATTTGTGGAGTCCCAAACCTCCTCACTAGACTTGAACTTCAATATCTTTAGGGACCATTCTGTTTCCGTCGATACTGGCCCGAGACGGGACAAAGCGTCTGCCCAATTGTTTTGTACTCCCGGTATGTGAGTTGCTTTGAAGTAAAGTGTTTGTGTTACACAAACTTTGAACATTTTTTTCTGATAGTCTTAGAAGGGGCCAAGATCTGGTTGAGCCTTGATTGAGACAAAGCACTGCCGCTCTGTTGTCCATGGCAAACGGAATCGTCGTGTTATAGAAATTTGGGTTTGCCAACAAAAAGAATAGGACTACTGCTAAGTCTTTTACGTTTGTGTTTGTCCCAAAGGGAGTCGCTTCACTTCCCTTGACCGAACTCACCTTTTGAGGAATGGCATCCCCATACTATTTCGGATGCGTCCATACAAACGACCAAGCCCGTTTGAGGGGGAACCGAGGGTGATGAACCGATTAGATTGTCCAAATTTTTCTACCGTGACAGATGATTCTTGATCTGAATAGGGAGAGTAGAAGATATATTTTTGTTTCTGTGAAGCAACTTCAACCCCAGACGAGTTAGTTGCTTCTTCCTTAACTTGCCCAAAGGAACTACTATGGTGGCAGAATTCAACAGACCCAGTAGTTTTTCCCGATCATGCCAAAAAACCTCTTCCTTTGCACTAAAGGCTTCTACTTTGTTTATCACATCTGTTACCTTTGCTTCAGGTAGACTGACTGACTGCTGATAGGTGTCCCAATAGAGACCTAACCAATCCAATTTCTGACATGATATGAGATTTGATTTGACCTGGTTTATCTTTAATCCTAGGTTTTGAAATAGTACTAGTGTACCTTGGGTCGCCGTTTGACAATCATCGAAAGAGGTTCCCACTATCGGCCAATCGTCTAGATGAGCAAAAGTTCTTATGTCCTCCTTCGCAAGGATCTCTCTGGGGATGTTTGCCAGTTTTGTAAACACTTTTGGTCCAATTCTCAAGCTGATTGGCATCACTGTGAATTGATAAGTTACATCCTCCACTGCAAACACTAGAAACTTTCTGTACCCGAGAGCAACAGGCGCGTGATAATTAGGCATCTTCGAGATCCAAGCATGGGGCGGAAATAGATGCCTCAGACGATCGTAAGAGAGCATCTCGAAACTTGTTTTGGTAATGAGCTTGTTCAGGACTAAAGGATCTAAAATCCACCTCAATTTGTCGCTGCCTGTCTTGGGGACTGGGAATGGGCGAGACATGAATCATTTCTCTGACTGTCACAGTTCTATCACACCTCTGTTTAACAGTTGAATTACAAATTCTGTGAGTAAGGGGGGTTGGTTTTTTACCCTTTTTTGGTAACACTAGGGGAGGGCGCCTCAACCAAGTCCAGGGGAGGGCGCCTCAACCAAGTCCATGTGAGGCCCCCCTTTGATTGTCTTGTAAGCCCATATGAAAGAAGTCCACCTCTTTTCTCAACCCCCTCGACGACCCAGTTGTTTGGCTTCATTTGGAGGGAGTGGTCGCTGATGCGGAATAAGTTCTCCTTCTACTTCTGAACAAACGGCCACCCCCACTACGTCTTGAATTGTTTCCTCTAGGTTGATAACTGAACCTAGCAGCTGGTCCTGTTCCCCTGGTCTTAGGACTCCTGGGAACAGTAATATTAATAGCTTGCACAACAGCTGATCTATACTTAACTAATGTTTGTTCATCAAACAAAGCAGGGAAGAACTTAGCAATAAATAAGCACTGCCACTTGAAGCATTATTAGTGGCTTGCTTCCTTAGCTGGGCTTTTAGTTTCAACACCATTTCCAAAAATGAGTTGTACAAGAAATATGGAATCCCTTGTATAGCAGCAGCAAAACGTGTCTACTTCTGAACTGTCCTCATAGTCCAGCACAAACTTAATCAATGACTGACATCGTAATTGCAGACCAAATATCCGCTGCCATTTTCCTAAATTTGAACTCTTCAAGCAACAGTGCAGAAGCAACTGGTTTCAAATTCCTTTCATAACTTATATCAGCATACTGTGGAGCCAACAAATACTGGGAAAGTTCATATAAGGAACTCTTTTTGTCATTAAATTGTAACTTCAAAAAATTAAACTTGTGAGCATTCCTATCTGCGGGAATGAATGTTAAGTCTTTCAATATATTAGCCCAGAGATCATTTTGGGACAAGTATCAGGCCAAGAAATTATAGTATCACCTAAAAGCAATGATTGATTACCCACAGTTTCCTGGCCTTCCTGTCTCTTTGTAAATGTTTAGAGATCAGGAAGTTTAGAAACATTTTCATAAAATACCTTGAAAAGGAATTCACAGACTCGGATGGGGTTGAAGACTTAGATCTTACCAATGTTACCCAAGGCCTGTTTGGATCATCTTTACACTCAATGTTATCCATCAGCTGTGTGGCAGTTGACAGCAGCCTGTTTCCACTCCCAGTAACCAACACTTTTGCTGCAGGTGGAAGTGGTTGCCAAAATGGGGACAGGATGAAGTCGGTCTCAATAGGTTCTCCCTGCTCTAGTGACTGAACACTATATTTAGAGCCAACTTCCTCATCCTGATCCTGGAATCCACTAAAATCAGACTGACTAGGTAGAGGTTCTTGTAATCTTCCTACTGTCTCATTATCTAGAATATCCAATAACCTACGTTTCTTAGCAGAAGCAGGTTGGTCTAATTGGGGATTAAGTCTCTTACCTATCACTCATAATTCTAACTTTCTGCCAACTTGGGATCTTTCAAGTGTTTTACATTTTGAAGGCCTTATTCCATCTATTTTTAATTTGGATCTGCAATAATTCTTTCTTATCTCCTGCAGCTTGATTAATTATAAAAATACGATCGTAACAAACTGCACAATCCATTGGTGTAAACAGGTTGTCCGAGACATAGCTGCCATGAATTATGTAAGCCAAATAAGGATCTAACTTGGTAATCCAAGTTACATGTAGTATGTTCCCCTTGGGTCCTGGGTGAAACTACTACAGGTACCACTGAATTCACTTCCTCTACTGATGGACATTTCTTAGTATGTAGTGTATGAGCTGAACTCCCAAGTCCTTGTAGCTCCTCATTCAGCACTAATTCCCCCAGGGACAGTTTTATGGTCTCCATCTTCCAGCAGTCCAGACAACTGTCATTCATCATCCAGTAGCACATCACTCGTCTAAACTAGGAGGAACACCATGA